TGTTGTCACATATTTAATCAATAATTGGAATAATAATATTTCTGTCACAAATATTTCATTAACTTATCCTCTCTCAAGGCAACATTAATGTGTTCTAAAAAGTTTGGCTTAATTAATTTTATATCCTCATAGACAAGGCAAAAACTAATTTCCAATTATTAATTAATTTTTCTCTCGACATAATTAATTAATTTAACAATAAAAATAATTCTAGAACAATTATTCCAACTATTAAATAAACATACAGAGTATATGCCCAAATTTAGCCAAGACCCTAATCTGGGCCCTAACCCATACTAGATATCAACAGTGCACAAAAGAAACGAACATTTTATTAAAATTGCAAGTATTTAAACTTACAAATCAGAGCAGAGTTGGAGCCACTTTGGAACAACCGGAACAAAACTAAGTTAAAATATTAAAATATAAATGAGAAAAGAGCGGAGAATGGGGTTCCGGGCCTTAAAGACCCGGATTGGAGCTTAGTAAGAATGAAGGGGCGAAGCCCTCCTTTTATAGGAGAAAATTTTGGTCCTGGCAGGCGGGGGCCTGTCCAAGGCCTGGGCTTGTCGGCCCATTCATCAGCAGTTACGTAGGTCCAGGCGTGGGCCTGAGCTCCAAGCGCACGCCTGGATTGAAGTGGAAATGGCTGCGAATCCGGCGATGGAAATCATGAGACTTGGCTTCTTTCTTTCCTTTTTTGTTCTTTTTTTATGATTGATTTTATATGATGATGATGGGAATGACGACCAGCCCACTTGCTTTTCTTCTCTTTCCTGCTGCTGCCACAGTTGGCCGGCCAGCCAGGTCGCGCCACGTGGCAGTACCTGGTTGGTCGGATTTTGACCCGGTCCGAAAATATTTTCTAAAAATACAGTCTTGCTCAAAATTTTATTCTGACAACGTTTCCTTCTGCGCCGACTTCAAATTCTGAACCAATTTGGGTCAAACAAATTAATTTTGAATTAATTCAATCTTGTTCTTTCCAAACAATTTCTTTTTGGTGCTTTTTCAATCCGTTTGACCTCAAATCTTTTGACGGGGTGCTCTCCCACATTTAAATGCACATTTTTCACTTCAAGGATTTTCACCATCTTTTGTCTCCTTGCTTCGTTGTATTTCATTTGCACAATCTTTTACACTTTTTGTACCACTTTTGACTCAATATTCATTTTAAAACTATACATAACTTTTGTACACTTTTTCAATTATAAATAAAAGATATAAAAACCATTGAGAAATTGATTTGTTTAATCCAAAATTAGAAAACAACACGTTAAATATAGAGAAGATAAGTACGTACAAAACGAACTTATCAAATTCTCCACACTTAAGCGTTGCTTGCCCTCAAGCAACAATGTACAACAACAAATGAAATTTTGGATCAAACACTTAAAAAGATTTTAGAAAAACTATTGACCACACTTTTAAACAATTTGTTACACAAAATTCTTTTACATTATTTAATCTTTACAAAAATAGAGCTACTAGAAATAGAACCCTTTTTACAAAGAAGTTAGCAAAGATTTTTTAATTGTTTTTTTAAAAGATGCACATAAATTAATGTTATTGACTAAAATTAAAAGTTGTCCATTTATAAACTTGGATACTAAAGTTTAAAACAAAAGGATTGTAAGTGTTTTGTAATAAATGCAAAATAATTTAAGGTCAAAAATTTGTACATTGAAAAACAAAAAAAAACTTTTCTGAAATTATCATTTATTCCTATGCAAAGAGTAAGTTTGAATTTTTTTTGTAGAACATCACTTTGTCATGTTGATACAAGCAAAAACTTTGATCCTCACCTCATGACATAGAACCACGAGCTTTTTAGATTTTTATTCACTCAAAAACCTCATCACACAACATAGAACCGCATGCTTTTTGGCACTCACTTCAATACAAGTCTCATCATTTGACATAGAACCAAACGCTTTTTGACTTTTCAATTCACTCTAGAACTTGGTCTCACCAAAGTGTGTTCTTTGATATTTTTTTTTTTGATTTTTTTTTTCAAAACTTACAATGCAATCATTGAAATATCAAATTCTTAGAAAAAAATTCTGCTCATACTCAATTTGAAGTAGTGAAACAGTATCATAACAAGTTACAAATATTTGACCTTAACGTATTTTACAAGTTAATATTTATTCACTAAATCAATGATTTTATTTTCAATACATTAGGATCCAAATTTATCTATTTACGAAACTTATTAAAGTTAGCCAATAAAAATACTATACGTGCAATTTAAAGAAAAATTTTAAAATTTTTGGCTAATTTTTTGCATAAGCGGGGCTATAAAAATAATTCTATCTTTGAAAAGAGTAAAAAGTGTAAAACAATTTTAAAAGTATCAATAGTGATAACTAGACCGATTTAGAGTATTCGAGATCGTTCAGAATGCTGCCAATTAGGTGCTCTTAGGCTCACCCGAATAAACCTTTCCATAGAATGACCCAGAAAGAATGGTGGGACAAGTTCGGCTCCCGAAGGCGTCACCCTTTGTGTCCACTTAAGTACCATTCCAGCTTAGACAGTCATTCCGTACACAGTGTAGAGATCAATATTAATATATAAAATGCAACAAAGAGTATAAAAATATTTTCAAAAAGTTTTCATAAACAAATAAAAATATTTTGTACCAAACTCCAATCTCCCCACACTTAGGGTTGACCTATCGCCCTCGAGGTCATTAAGCGATAAAATCAAGAGTTTGGGACAGAGACAATTCTCATTTTTTTGAAAAGGTTTTTACAAAAAAATTTATGCACAAAAGTTAGTCATTTCTTTTTTTTGTTGAGTCAAAATGGTTCACGAGCATTCCTAATTCGAAGCTCCACCTGCACACAAATAAAAAAACAAAAACGCGTAAAAAGGAAAAAGAAAAAGAAAATTTATTCACTTAGGTTGCCTCCCAAGAAGCGCTTCTTTAACGTCACTAGCTTGACGTTAGCCCGTTTTTTACAGGTCTTACCGATCCGCGAGTCATAAAGTTTGACCTTTTAAACTCTCTTCTAATGCCACATCTGTCTTATTCTTTTCCAATCAAAGTCCAGGATCTTTGACTCATTCCTGCAGCTTGGTGGCAACAGGAAAATTGGAGGAGACTCGTCTTGGATAGGTGGTGGTGTGAGTCTCCTTGGTTTATCCACATCATTGGCCTTAATCGCCAGTACATGACCTTCAAAGTCTTCAATGGGTTGACTTTCTGTTAGTGGTTCGATGATTACGGCATCGCCTTCCCCTGATTCTTTAGTGTCGCTCATCAAAAGTTCGTCCGAGCTCATTTGACTATAACTTTCCTTCGGGTAAGAATGGTCGTACCCGTCAAGTAGGGAATCAAAGAAGGTTTCGTCTGAATCCTCCGGTGAGAGTTCGGTATTAAGAACTTCTATAGACGGGATGGATTCAGCATCACAGGGCACTTCCTCGTCTATAGATTTGTGTGACTCATTAGTATTGGAATCAAGGGGGTCGGTGGTGGGCTCGGATTTCTCAAGAACAGGTTCCTGTGGAGAAGTGTCTTCAACACATGTTAGGAGGACAGGTTCCTCTAACGTTTCTGGAGCAGCTGGTGAAGGCGGTTCCAAGACAGAACCCTCGGTAGGCTTCACCTCTTGTACGATTAAACTTCGTGGGCTTTCAGGAAGCATCACCACTGTACCTCGTACAATCATTTCTGCAAGTGTTATCTTGTTTTCGATATATAGTGGTGATGGAGTTTGTGGATATTCAAGAATTGAGACATTGTTGGATTTAGTTTCGCATTCTGTCTCACATTCTTCGTCCTCTTCTAGAGAAAAAACTTTCTCCATTTGAATCTAAAGAGTTTGTTGTTCCATAGCCTTATTAAAATCTTCCAGCATCTTTTGCATATGCTCCCAATATCCGCGTTGTTCGTTTTCTTTCTGGGTTTGGAGCAGTTTGCGTTTTTCTTAGACTGTTTTGAGAAATTGCTCTCTTGCCTGGATTGCATCTCTATTTGCTTCAATTTGCTCATCACGAGTCAGAGAGTAATCACGACAATAGGGTGGTTCAAATGATGAACACTCCACCGCTAATGCTAGGTCAAGATTACGTATTCTTTCCTCAGCCCACAAAATCTCTTCAATAGGTGTATCTAGCTGGTCATCGTACATTGGCCCTTGTTCGTCATAATCATTTTGATCACCATGAGGTTCATAATTGTTGGGAAACGAGGCTTGGATTACGCAGCGGAAAACAAAATTTAGAGTCCAAAACTCGATTCCACCCAAGAACAACTTACGTAAATTACTAGCTATAGTAAGAAATTTACCTTAACGGTGAAAAATGGAGAAGGGAGAAACGGTCGGGGATGGTTTTGAGGAGATTGAATTAAATATTCAATTAAACAAAATTTGTTTTGATTAAAATAAATTGTTGTTGGGCTTTGGGCTGAAATAAAATATATATTGATATCCAATAAACATAATTGGGATAAATCTCAAAGAGATAAATCCAACATGTTGATTTATTGTGTGATCTTGATTGGGAACCTGAGTACAGACCCAAATTAAGAATAAATGAAGAAATTGTTTATAATGTGAACTTTGAAATGATTTATTGAAATAAATCATGGAAATAAATAATATGAATTAAATGTGAGAACCTTTTTGAATAAAGGTCAATTAAACCAATTTTGACTCTGT